GCAGGCAGGCAGGCAGGCAGGTGGCTGGGTATCGTCATATACGCTCGTCTTTGTGATGTATTATGTGTGCAGAGTCGCAGAGTCTCGTGCTTCATGTCGGAACTGCGTGTTCGGGTCTACCGAAGAACTGATCACAGAAGTAGTGACCCTGCAAGTACTCTCAGCTTCGACCAAACAAAGAAGCAAACGATGCCAGGAAATCAAACTCACAGAGAAAGGCCCGTGCCTGTCAGTACCGAGCATCTAGGCCTTCACCAGAGGTTGTCGCAATTTTCATTCGTCGTACTCAGTGCCACATTTGTGGATCTCATGACAGCTTGCAAACACCTTCGGTGTCTGCGTAGCTTGGATTGATGATGCGGGACTGCAAGTTTCGCTGCAGGAGCCATGGTGTGGCACATGATTCTTGCGATGCAACAACTGCTCCATCATTCCTGTGCGGATGTTTCTCGAGGCTCGCAAGCCGTCCTGCATCGGTACTACACCCGAAGCACAGTCGGAGTAACAGCATTAATTTGCATGGAAAAAAGTCACACGTATGCCACGCTCCGGACTGTCCACTCCAGTCCACTCTAAGTTTGCACTGAAGCTACAAGTGCTTTTCCTGCCGACCCTTCAACGACAGTCCTTTACCGAATTGTCTTCGGAAGGCTGCAAATCCAAGAGGTCGCAATAATGGAACTACTTGGCCCAGTTCGACGCGGTGGGTCCTCTCGTGGTACTACAGTAGATCTCAGCTCCCCGAATTAATCAAGAAGTCTAGCTCATTACTAGTGCCCCGAAACACCAGGAGCTGTTGTGTGATCTGACAGCTGCTCTTCTTGCAAATTTGATACTTTGCACATCAACGGGGGGTCTAAGGCTTCTAGTTCCAGGGCCGCGGAACGCAATGAACCTCATTCGGAAAGCTTCTACGGAGGCTGATCTATAATACATGAGAGGGAAGGGGCTCCACAAACAAGGCAATAACGCCGTATGATTGTTTACACGGGTAAGTTTACGACAATGTCGACACGTGTCCATAGATCCGCGTCTCCGCATCCGCGAGTATGCATCACCAATAGGTTCGGGTGTGCCAGGGCAGTCTTCGGCGTGGCAGATTTGATGCACGAATAGTGCACGCTGCAGTCAGCTGCCCTCATTGCTGTGGGAATTCCTTGTGGCCTGAATTGAAGAAGCCCGCGGCACCCACAAGTGTGGGTCGATGACAGCAACTGAGGCCCCTGTGCTTACAGCCTGGGACCTCTCTAGTTCACAAAGCAGAGATGAAGCTCTCCCTTCATGACGAGAGCTTGCCTCGATCGTACGTTCCTATCGATACTTGGGTATCTTAAGCTATCCTAGCACGTGTTTGTTGCTTATCCGCAACTGTTTCGTAGGTCGAAGGAGAGTTGGGGCGTCTGTCCCTTACCAAGGCCTCCGTGCGAAACGTCAAAGCTGCGTCGGGACGCTCACTTCCTCACGTTTACGAATTACGAAGACGAAGATGACGGTTGGAAGATCCTGCTCGAGAAACTACCGAGCTTCAGGATTTCCGGGTTGAATCGCATCTCGTAGCGTCGAGCAAGATCGGGGAAGGCGTCCTCAGGTGCCAAGCGGCGCAGCGATCCAGTTTCCACGGTCTAAAGCACATTTTGCGAACAAGGCTCGTAAGCAATGTGCCTGGGCGGAACGGGCAACACTGATAGAAAATAGA